CGGCGCGGGAAGCCATGGACGAGGACTAGCGCGGCGTCGGTGGTGGCCCGCCGGCGCTGGCCAGGGCGGGCGGCGGGGGCGGCGGGGGAGCCGGCGGCGCGCGATGTGCTTGGGGATGCGCGCCAGTGCTGTTCTGTGGCGCGCGCCGCGTGGCGACTCCCCGCATCGCGCGAGGCTGTCGACGAGGGGCGGGACAGAGCGAAAGGGCGAGGGCTGTCGCGGAGAGCGCGGGGGCGACTCCCACCACACCCCGCGCGCCCTAAGCGAGGTCGGCTACAGTCTGTTTCGGGTATAATCCACAATCCATAAAATTAAATAAGCCAAAACGCCCCACAGGCCACAGCGCGCGCATGGCGTCTCTGGGGGGAGGCGGGGGCCCCCGGAGGCACCGTGCGCCGCCCGCAGCACTGCGGAACGTTCCGGAAACTACAAACTTTCGGCGGGGCTCCGGCCCCTCTCCGCTCTCCGCTAGTCTCCGTTAGCACCGCCGACTTCCCGATCTAACCCGGTCTATCAGAGGGCAGATTTGGAGAGATCTCGAGGAGTGCATACAGATAGACCCTCTAACCATCAGAAAACTCCAACCTGATCGGTCGTACTGACCGTCGACAGATCACTCCAGACAGCAGACAGGCCGCGACGTCTGCACGCGGCCGGCCGGGCGAGAGGCTTGACACGATCCGACCCTGCGACCCTGATGCTGCTGCTCTAGCTATCAGGCATGCGCTGCTGACTGCTGCCACAATGTGCGACCGGTGCTGACCCACTTGGCGGCCTTCCCGGTCAGTGGTGAGGCGCAGTTCAGAGCTGTCGATGGCGCGATGCCGCACTGGTCCCACATCGGTGACACGAGACCACCACGTTTGCCGGTCCAAGAGAGAGGCACCGGCGCTGTCCTGAGAAGGTGCATGGTCCCTCTTCCACTTGATGACTGCCCATGCGCGCGAGGCTGTGTAGGCATAGCCTCGAGAGTGCCAGCAGCCAATCCGAGGCGACGCGCATTGCGTCAGAAGCGTGCACGCGCTGGAAAGACACCTTCCTACTGGCCGTACGATCAGGTCGTCACTGAATGCTGAAGACTAAGGCCGCGAGCTATGCAAGCGGTCAGTTGAGCAGCATGGCACGGTCAGCAGCGCCGAAAGGATGTCGCAAGGCGTGATAGCATGGCCGCAAGTATACGCCGAATTCCCATGACACGCGCGGAGCGCGCCGCTGGGTAGACACTCACTCGCCACACCACAGCCGCGGGCGCTTGGACCCGTCCGAACTGCGCACGCGGATGCTCTTCTCAATTGAGCAGCTTGTCATCCACGGCCTTCTGCAGCCAAGGCTCCATCGCGGAGGTCGGCTCGGGCGCCCGCCGCAGCCGTTTCATCTCGCCAACCAGCTCTAACCCGGGCCTAACCCACCCCTAATGGGCGTGTACACATCACTCACCCCCCCCCCCCTCTTGACTGGGGGGACCCCCCGCGAGAGCACCCCCATCGTCCCCGGAGGCCCGTCGATCCCCCAGGCCGCGATGCCGCGCTCAAAGGTGCTGGAGCTGTTCGCTGGCATCGCCGAGCAGTCGTGCAAAGTCAGAAAGGCGGATGCTGTTGTGCGCATGCAGGACTGGAGCATCGCGACCTTTCCGGCATGGCAGGAGGTGCAGATTGGCATCCTCTCTGGTGTCACTGGCACGCCAAAGCACGTCATCGGCAGCTGAGCCCTGGTCTGACAGCCTGACAGCAAACCCCGGACAGCGCCTGACAGTGCCCGACAGCCTGACAGCGTTGACAGCACTTCTCTGACAGCCTGACAGCACGTATCTGACAGCCTGACAGCAGAGTCTGACAGTCGAGGGGCTCTGTCGCTGTCAGGCCCTAACGTGACAGCCTGACAGCTGCCCGACAGCCCGACAGCACACAGTGGCCTGACAGCAGCGCGCTGACAGCCCGACAGCCCGACCAGCCCGACAGCAGCACAGACCATACACAGGCCGTGCAGCCTCTTTCTTGTGCCCCATGAGGGTATAACAAAACTATTACATGCAAAGACATGTAGTCATGGGATGGTCATGGGTCTCTCCTAGGGTCTCTCTCTCAACCCTCCCGCCCCACCTCTGCGGACCCGCGGCTGTGCTACTACAAATGAAGCTACCAGCTAGCCTTCTGGGGCCCTACAGCCATATGCCTACAGTGTCTGGGTGGGGGTGGCCGCCGCCGTTTGTGCCGCCGCTGCCTGCGCCTGCGCCGCCATCTGCGCTCCCCAGGCGGCCGCCGCTGCCGGCGTGATCACGCCGTAGGAGGGGGGCAGCTGCGTAGCCGCCGGCGTCACCGGCGTCAGCGCCCCCGCCGCCGCCCGGCCAGCGGCCACAGCCCGTCTCCATCCAGGAGGAGTCAAAGGATCGCAAGCTCCGCTTCCACGTCAAGCGGCTCATCAAGTCCCATCAGCAGCGGGGCGAGGATGTGGATGAGGAGCTCGACTTCTACATGGATGATGATGACGGTGACCTTGCCTGCCTGTCACACAGACACATAAGACGTGCATCCTCATCTCTCCCTCTTCTCTTTCTCTTCGCAGTTGCGGTGCTCTTCACCATGGAGGATAGCTCCAAGGTCTTTGCCATCGGCAACATCGAGCAGGTGGCCGTCGCCGACGGCACGGTAGACGCGCGCCGCGCCACTGGCAGCTCGAGCGCAGAGTACCTGCGCCAGCTCTCGATGAGTCAGCGCAGCAACGGGGTCTTCATCAACGACCCCAAGGGCCTCTTTATCCTCCGGTGGTACCGTGAGGTGAAGGGTGACGGGACCCCCCCAGACGGCCCGCGCTCTACCAGAACAGAGCGTGCAAGTACCCTGGTACTCAAAGCTGACGAGCAACAACGATGGGGAGGCCTTCCGCTGGACCAGCAACTACCAGATCATCAGCAAGGTGTACCTGAAGAAGCACTCCAGTCTGCCTCTCTGCTATTCTCTCAGTGCGGCAGACAAGAAGATGGTGACGTCCACCATGAAGAAGATGGTGGGACCGGAGGCAGAGTAGAGACTAGAGTATGTGTGCAGTAGAGTCCTGCTGGCAAGGGACTGTTGGGAGGACGAACGTTTCCACTTTTCATCCTAAACAGCCTGACGTGGCGGCGGCAAACATCGGCAAGGGGCACAGGCGCCTTTATTGCCGATCTGAAGCTCACGAGCTCGCTTTCGAGCAAGGGCAAGGACGGGAAGCTCGGCTGGAAGGGGGCTTATGTTCGCTTCGGCAACACGGAGACCGGGCTGCTCAATTTGGTCAAAGGGCGCGGCAAGTACTCGCCGTCGGGAGCGACGGCAGCGGCGGTGGCGGAGGAGGAGGGCGAGGAGGAGGAGGCGGAGGCGGAGGAGGCAGGGGAGGAGGAGGAGGAGGGGGAGGATGCGGATGCCCCCACGAGGCCGCTCAAGCGGCTGCCTGGGCCGCGGCGATTACCGCTTTGCGCGGGAGCAGGATTGCGATCTGCGCTTGTTTGATTTTGAGAGCTTTGGAGGCTTTGGAAAGGTGGTCCGCAGCAGCCTGAGGGAGGCGGCGAACCAGCTGAGCAACACACTTTCGCATGCTCAGCACCTACCCGTAGCATCGTACCCTGGGGCTACCTCGTATGGGCAAAAACGGGGTGATTATTTGGTCGTCTGTCAAAATATCTGAAGCTCTGAATGGGGGATTCTCCCCAAACCTTGCTCAGCTGATCCAGCATAATAACAAGCTGTGAATGGTCGCTCGTCGAATGCGACGGCGGCCGCACCTCTGCCGCCGTCGCTCCGCCGGCTCTGACCGAGTATCGGGCGCAAGCACCGCCAGGCGAGGCGCGTGTGCAGCACGTGGCATGCCGAGTGGTGGGCGACGGATACGGTACGCGGCAGCTCATCTGTGCCGGCCGCGTCTAGCACCATGCTCATAACGCTTTTTGTCTCCGACCCTCGACGCAGGTTCTTCTTGGCATTGGCACGCTCTTCGCCGCCGACGATCTCATACGTGTCCCCTTGCATCTCCGCTGCGTGAACACTCCATTCTTCCACCACGAGCTCGAGTGTGTCGGCCAGCGATCGAGAAGTTGCTTGTTTGGGCCGTGCGACATCGAGGAGACGCTGCAGCATCTTGACGGCGTAGCCGTCGCCATCGTCGGGGTCCTCGCCAGCAACGGCTCCGCTTTCGCCCACCTTCCTCTTGCCGCCAGCGTGTCGGAGCGTCGAAAGCATCGTCGCTAATGGTAATGCGCGCGGAACGGACGGATGACGGTGCAACTCCGAAACCACCCCCTCAGTTGCGGGGGAGAGACTTTTATCAAAGCTGACGAGCAACAACGATGGGGAGGCCTTCCGCTGGACCAGCAACTACCAGATCATCAGCAAGGTGTACCTGAAGAAGCACTCCAGTCTGCCTCTCTGCTATTCTCTCAGTGCGGCAGACAAGAAGATGGTGACGTCCACCATGAAGAAGATGGTGGGACCGGAGGCAGAGTAGAGACTAGAGTATGTGTGCAGTAGAGTCCTGCTGGTCTCCTCTTGATAGTGTCATAAGTGTGGCTGGTGTGTGTCAGAGCCTGACAGCACCCCGACAGCACCACCTGACAGCACCTGACAGCAACAGCCCAACGTCTGACAGCAGCAGCAGCCTGACAGCTCTGACAGCTCCGACAGCGTCTGACAGCAACACCCGACAGCTCTGACAGCACCCGACAGCTACAGAGCCCCTCGACTGTCAGACACGCACCCGACAGCACCCGACAGCACTGACAGCACCCGACAGCTGGTCTGACTGAGGCACCTGACAGTGCCTGACAGCTGCCCGACAGCCCGACAGATCACCTGACAGCACCTGACAGCCTGACAGCCAGGGCTCAGATCGGCAGCGAGATGGTCGACGATGCCGAGTCAGAGTGGGGCGTTGGTGAGTGGCAGGCGAGGCTCGCGAAGATCAAGGCCCGCAGCCGTGCCAAGTGGCTCGTTGCGGCGGCTGTGGCGGTGGCTGTGGGCGTGTGGCGTGTGCCAAGCAGCGCTCGTGATCGAAGGAGCAGCGCTCGTGACCGATCGGCTTGGTAGCGGAAGCCATGGTAGCTGGGTGCGGTGGGGGAGTTTCTGGTGGCTTCTAGGTTACAAATGTACGGATTTACAGATCGAACAATGGTTGGGTAGTAGGGCTAGAGGGTCGCTCTACACTTAGCCTCTGCAGCGAGCGAGCGCTCAACTTAGCCCCCGCACCGAGCCGGGCTCAGACTTAGACGCTGTATGGTCGGGGGCCATGAACTTAGACGACATAAGGCCACTCCGGGCAAAACCCGGGTATACCTGAAAAGCCTCCAGGTTTACCCGAAATACCTGGACGCGTCCGACCAACGTATGCCGCGCACGACGCCATATCGCCTTCTCCCAGGGCCAGTGCGCTACTCACGGCGCGCAACGCCTGCTCAAGTACGCGCACCGTACCATGTGCTGCCGCTATGCGTGCCTTAAGGCGGCTGCGGCGAAGCGGCGGGCGCGGCATGCCGATGGCAGTGCGGACGATGCGGTTGCGATGTGTTCTGCTTCAAGATCGTGGCGGTGCTTGGCATGCACTTCTGCGATCCCAATCAGCTCATCGCAACGAAGCAGCGCAACAAGCTGGCTGCTGCCAACAAGGCCCTATGCTACCTCACGCGCGGATCGTTCAAAGAGGACCAGCACACACAGGCTTCACGCCTTCACCGTCACACGTTTGATTAAGCTTGAGGAGCTTCGTGTCATGTGAGAACTGTTTGGCTAGACGTCGCTCAAGAATGAAGGAGCAGCAACGAAAGTCGGAAGAGGAGGATGCTGAGGCGGCGATTGCTAAGCATGAAGAGGATCGATAGCCCGCCGCAGGCGAAGAAAATTTGGGGGCTGCGCCGTATCGTTGATCACGGTGGAGGAGCCTCCTGGCCCCAGGCCGTGCCACGGCCGACTTAGCCGATGTAAGAGGCTCCCGCTGATCTTAGACCGCGCAAGCACTCCAGCGTGGCTAGCCACACTTAGACCCGTTCAGCCTCGAGGCTCAGAACTTAGACTACTACCCAACCAGTGATCGAACCCCCTCCCTCCCCGTCCCGCCGCCCCCGGCCGTGAGACGCCGATCCGTGAATCAAGTTGGTGCCGGCACAGGCGATTGTGTATATGCACAGAACCCCTCCAGGACCCTACTCGTCCACATACACGGTGTGAGAGCCGGCGACATACGCGTCGGGAAACGCGCACTTGCGTCATCATCTGTCTAGCGTCCACCCATACCGCGTTGGTGTCCAGTCCGAGCCTGGCTGTTCTTCACCTTTCTACCTATGTATGTTGGTAGTGGCGCGATTGTGCGTCAGGCGAAAGGCGAGCGCCGGCGGAAGGTGGCACGCCGAGCGTGTCAGCCAAGCCGCCCTCGCCGCCGCCGCCCTTGCCGCCGCAGCCCTCGCCGCCGCAGCCCTCGCCGCCGCCTCCGAGCCCGCCGCCTCCCTCACCGCCTCCACCGTCGCCGCCCCCACCGAGCCCGCCGCCGCCGTCGCCGCCGCCGCCCTCGACGCCGCCGCCCTCGACGCCGCCGCCCTTACCACCGCCACCGCCACCGCCGCTGCCCGGCCCGCTGCCGCCGTCGCCGCCGTCGCCGTCGCCCCGACGGCGCAGCGGCGGCGCAGCCACCCGCTTACGGCATCGTCTTGGGGTTGTGCTCGCGCCGGCCGACCTCGCCGAGCCGCGAGCGCGCGCGAGGGAGGCATGTGCGTTGCGCCGCTCAGCGGCCGTGGAGGGCGAGCGCGGGGGATGCGCGCGCTTACTAGTAAGTGCTACATTGTGCGTGCTGTATGTCGGTGAATGTGAACACTGACCCTCACACACTAAGGGTTGGTCAACCATGTGGGTGTCTATGTGTTTCCCTCGCGCAGTAGATTCTTATTTCATCGTCAAAAAGCGCCCGTATTCACTTGCCAAAATCGCGACCCGGGGTGTTCGACCGGGCTAACACGTGACGTGTGGCCTCAGGCCTGTCAGAGCTTGATCTCCGATCTCAGCGACGTCGAGTGTGTCGCCTTCGGTGGCGACAGCTAGGATGCATCTCCTCCGTCGTTTTTCGCGCGATGGGCCCTGAGAAGCTGGCGGCGCACGCAGGCGGACCTTGTGTGTGCGCGGAACGCTTAAAAATTGGGTGCTCTACGTCACTTTTTTTGATAGTCATACAGGTCGTGCCGAGCTGGCCGTGACAGCGTTTTTGGTAGTTTTTGGCGGGTTTTGCACCACAGACTTTTTGCAACAAGTCGGACATCAGAGTGCACTGGCAGACCCAGACGTTTACAAGAGCACGCATGTGGGCATTGCCATCTCATTGAGCGCGTTTCGTTTTCCTGAGGACACATGAAGAGCGAAAAACACGCACAGCCGCACGCGCAGCGAGGTGAGGAAAGAACTGTTTGTAATCTCACATGAACGAGTTGCTCAGCGCCGTGCGCGCTAAGACGAGCTGACAGTGACACATCTCCATCCCGATCGTCTAAGACCCGCGCCCAAACGCGTTCGGTACTCGCAGCGCACACATACAGACGCGGCCCAAATGCGAAGTGCAAGCGGTGGGATAGACCGCCCCCACGCGCCTCTGGCCTGCTAGACCCCCAGCCGCCCGCCCAGCCCCCCCTCTCCCCACCTCTGCAAGAGAACAGGAGGCAGTGCCCTCCTCAGCAGAGAGGCATTCGCGACGACTCGGAGGCATGCCCAACATGCCTGCTGTGACCCGGTGTCCCCACGCGCACTCACGCGGCCGCCAGCTTACTCTTTCGCTTCGCGCCGTTGAGCTTCGCGCGCTTCTTCTCCGTCGCCGGCGCCTCGCCCGCCCCCTCGCCGCCGCTGTCGGCGGCGCGCTTGGCACCGCGCGCGGGCTTGCCGTTCTCCACCTATCCGCAGACCTTGTTATGGAGAAGTTGAGAAGAAGCTACCTCCTAAGGCGCTGCGCGCTGGTGGGTGAGAGGGTCGAGGTGCGGGCCCTGGAGGCCCTGGGGGTGGGGGGATTCGCACACACACACGCCGCGGCCGTCTGCGCTCCGCTGTCATGGCGGAGGACGTCCGCATCTCTGCCGCATCTCTGCCGCATCTCTGCCGCATCTCTGCCGCATCTCTGCCGCATCTCTCTGCCGCATCTCTGCCGCATCTCTGCCGCATCTCTGCCGCATCTCTGCCGCATCTCTGCCGCATCTCTGCCGCATCTCTCTGCCGCATCTCTGCCGCATCTCGAGAGGCTCAGCGTTCCGTGGCGTCCTCAGAGCGGGGAGGGGAGGCGAGCCACCTCTCCCCGCGGTCGGAAACGCAAATGGTCAGGGTGCATCCGCGCCAGAGGGGGCTCGAGGGAGGGGGGACATCTGCCCGATCTCGGGACACGATCTCGGCACGATCTCGGCTCTCCCCCCCCCTTCCCCCCCCCCCCCTCTCCCCCCCCCACCCCTCCCCGCGCGCGCCGGCGTCGCCGCGGTCGCTGCCGCCACCCCGCCGTTGTCCGGCGCGCGCTTCTTCGATTTCTTCTTCTTGGGCGCCGGCGGCGCGCCTGCCGCGCCGCCGTCCCCGTCCGCCGCGGCCGCGGCCGCGGCGGGAGCCGCCTTCTCGCCCCCGCCCGCCTTATTCTTCTTCTTCTTGGCGGCGGGCGGCGCGTCGAGCGACGCAGCGAGCGCTGCGAACTTGCCGCATGCGCCAACCAGCGCCCGCGCGTGGGCGTGCCGCGCCTGCACATGGACGTGTCATGGACGTGTACGTGTGTGCGCGGGGCGTGTGCTGTGCGTGTGATGGGCTTGTGGTGGGCTTGTGGTGGGCGTGCCGTGGGCGTGTGGTTGGCGTGTGATGGGCGTGTGACGGACGGGTCATGAGCATGTCATGTGTGTGTGTGTCTTGGACACGTGTCATGGGCATGACATGGGCGTGTCGGCGTGTCTTGGACGTGTCTTGGACGTGTCGCTCTCCCGCGCCTGCACGGCGGCGACGGCGGGGCCGAGCGCCACGGCCGCCTCGCTGGCCGCCGCACGCTGCTGCGAGTCCGCCAGCGCCCGCACAAGCGCCGAGGCGAGGCGCACCGGCGGCAGCAGGTGCTTTGCGCGCAGCTTGCCCTTGCCGAGGAGCTCGAGCAGCGCCTGAGGCGGAGGGGGCGGAGGGGGCGGAGGGGGCGGAGGGGCGGAGGTGGAGGGGCGGAGGGGGCGGAGGGGCGGAGGGGCGGATGGTTGGAGGGGGCGGAGGGGCGGAGTTGGGGGGGGGGGGGGGGGGCCAAATGAAAAACCCTCAAAGGGAAAGAGGGGGCCGAAAGGGGAACTCAAAGGGCTTGGTTCGGG